GTGGGTGAAAATATGTGTAATCAGTTCAGTCGCTCAGTCATGTCTGACTCTTTGTAGCCCCATGAACCACAGCATGCCAGGCCTCCCTGTCCATCACCATGCTCAAAAAACCAAAGCTTGAAATCTGTAATAGGAATTTTACAGAATCCTAATATAAAACCCCAATTGGAGTCTGTGCAAAGAATATTAACAGGTGGGACTTCCCTGGAGGTCCAGTGTTAAATATTCTGTATTTCACTACAGAGGGGAGTGGCTTCAGTCCCTGGTTCGGGAACTAGGATCCCACGTGCCTTGTGGTACAGCCAACGTAATTAAAAAATATATATGTATTGGCCATGTCCTGCCTGCCATGGGACACACACAGTAGGATTTGCTCCAGGACCTTGCTTCAGACAAGGAAACTACTCCTCTATGAAACCATTGATACCTTTGTTGCTGGAAAAAAAAAAAAAGAATATCAACAGGCCAAGTTCTGAAGAAAAAAAATAAAAATGCCTAGTAAATATATGAAAATATGATAAGCTTATTAATGATCAAATAAGTACAAATAATCAAATTAGTTGTTCTTTTACTGATAAGTTTGCCTAGGATTTAAAAATATGGTTATATCCAAAGTGTGGGATATGGAGAATTGGGGTTACTTACATACTCTTGGAGGAGGATAAAATAAGAGAAAAGTTGAGAAGAAAATCTGCTGTTGTACATAATAATTTTGAAGCTGCCTATTCTTTGACATGGCAATTTTTCACTGTTTGGAACTTATCCTAAAGAAATAATCGGAAGGGAAGCAAAAAGTTCTATATAAAAAATTTTCCTTTTCAGCATTTATTATGAAAAGAAAAATATATACAACATAAATGCATTATTGGGGATGTTTAATTATGTTACAGTAAAATTGACTCTGGTCTCTCAGCACCTGGAACCACTTTGTACACATCCTGCCCACTTTTCTCAGTTGTTACCCTTCCTCCAGGGACATTTGTTGCAAGAATCAGGAGTGTGATTGATGTTGTAGGAGGCAGTGACCTTCAACGATGTGGCCGTGGTCTTCACAGAGGAGGAGATGGGGCTGCTGGACTTGGCCCAGAGGAAGCTGTACCAGGAAGTGATGCTGGAGAACTTCCGGAACCTGCTCTCAGTGGGTGAGGACGGGTGCCCTCTGTGACTGAACAGAGACCCCCTGCAATATTCATGTGCCCTTGAACAGGCAGAGCTTCGGAGCTCTTGAACTGAATTTTGGTTTTCTAATCAGCATGAGATGCAGAGGTCACAGGGCTTTTTGTTTGTTAGTTTCTTTTAATAATTATTTATTTGGCTGCGTCAGGTCTTAATTGAGGCACACGGGATCTTGTTGCTTCATGCAGGATCTTTCATTGAAGTGCACGTTCTCTAGTTGCAATGCGTTGGCTTAGTTGCCCCATGGCCTGTGGGAACTTAGTTCCCCGACCAGGAACTGAACCTGCATCCCCTGCATTAGAAGGCAGATTCTTAACCACTAGACCACCAGGGAAGTCCCACAGAAATAGTTTTTCTTTCTCTGCTGACCAAAGTGTGTTTGTAAACGTACTATAAATTGTCCGCATAATTGCTCTACCTTTTTGGCTTTTCAAATTGTAATCATCTCCAATTACGGGTCATGACATTCTTTAAGGAATTGAAACAAAATAGGGTAGAAAATATCACAGCACTTGGCAGTAACTTCAGGATGTGATAAAAACTATGGCCTGTTGCCAAGAATAGTGTGAGAACTGGTGAAAAGGGTGCAATGAAAATAATGTCTTCCAGTAATTTATACTTAGTCTACATATCCTGGGGGCTTTCCAAGTGGCTCAGTGGTAAAGAATCCACCTGCAACACAGGAGATATGGGTTCGATCCTTGGTCGGGAAGATCTCCTGGAGAAGGAAATGGCAACCTACTGCAGTATTCTTGCCTGGAAAGTCCCATGGACAGAGGAACCTGGAGGGCTACAGTCTATGTGGTCTCAGAGTTGGACATGACTTAGCACCTAAACAACAGCAATGACTGCACATCCTTGGTTTTGCATAAAGTATATTTCTGCCAATGGGTCATAATTGAAGGCTTGGAAAACACTGATTTTTATGTCAGTGTTGATATAGTGTAAACCACAATTTTTCATAATTTGAGCTTCTAATGCATTCATTTTAAATGTTTGTCCTTGCCTTTTGACAGGACATCAATCCTTCACACCAGATGTACCATCCCAGTTAGAAAGAGAAGAAAAGCTGCAAATGATAAAGACAGCAGCCCAGAGCTGTTGTTCCTCAGGTGAGAGTCCTATGACTGAGTCTGTCCTGCTTCTTGTCGCCTCTCCAGCTGTCCAAGTCAGAGTGTAGTCTGTGGATTACTGCCACAGTCTTTGTAATACTCTCTCTTCTGCTTTGCTTTTTCACAATCAATTCTCCACTCTGAGTGATTCTTTTAAATTCAAACACTGTCATTTCTCAGCTCAGATCTCTCATTCAAAATAAAATTCCAGTATAGAAAGTGGCTTCTGATGTCCCCTATGCCCATCAGTTTTATAGTCTGCTTTTAGAAACAACTTTTTCACAGGGCAAGGATAACATAGGGGTCTAAATATTGACTCCTGAATGAAAAAGGAAAATCTTTATCCATACAGGGAAAGGGTATAAGAATTTCAGAAACAGTCCATCTGTATGCCCCATGGCCATCTTTATGCCCTATGCTTTTTTATTTTTTTGCCTTTCGAGTGATTCTTGCCAAGATTTATTTTTCTTTTTTACACTGTGTGTCTTGTGGGATCTTAGTTCCCCAACCAAGGATCCAACCTGGGACCTTGGCAATGAGAGCGCAGTGTCCTAACAATTAGACCACCAGGAAATTCCCTGATGTGATCATCGTGATTTTCTCTCAGCAATATTCATTTAGGTTAGCCCTGCATCTAGTGAGGACTTTCAGTTTCCCAACAAATTGGCTGTTTCCTCTTCCTTTCCTATGATGAGTAAGTTACTTGCAAAAGCTCTTTTACTTTTGTAACATGGCTCAAGCTGTCACGGAGACATCAAACTAGGATTTATTTATCCATCCAGCATGTATTTCTGGAACACTGACCATATCAGACAGAGTTCTGGGAGTGGTGATAAACCTGCAAACAGTACAAAATGCTTGTCCCTGTGGGTATTACATTCAAGCAGGAGAAGACATAAAACGGAAAAGATCAAGACTTTTTATGCCCTATACTATGTATATAGTATGTCAGATGGGAATATGGGCTATGTAAAAACAAAACAGTGTATGGTTAATGGAGATTTCCAGGAATGTAGAATAGATAGGAGAATTTAGTATATGATATTGTATGGTAATAAAAGAGGCACCACCGATAAGGCATTATTTGAAAAGACACCTCTAAAGAAGTTAGTAGCAAGCTATATGACTAATTGGTGAAACAGAGTTCCAAGGAGAATGTAATTCTTCCTGTCCAATACTGACTTAAAATCTGTATTCCACCCTATTTATTTCCTCCTGGCAAGGTCTTACTCTGTTGTAAAAATTAGGTTATCTTCTAATTTTTCAGTCTTTTTTTCCCCATGGAAGTTGTAGGAACTATATTGATGTGAAATTTTAGAATAGTGTATGTTATTATAGTAAACTTCCCTGTGTATTGTCTTCCTGAAGGATATTTCCCAGCAGGAGACAAAAGACCACTCTCTCTGCTTATACTCTGAACTTTAGGCCCTTAGGTGATAAATTATTTTCTTCCAAACATTTATCTTTCCAACCTACCAGGACCTCCAAAGCTCTCCTTCCAGTGGAGAAAACTTCTGATAAAGCCAAAGTTTTCAACACTGCCTGGGGATGTCTTCTGAAAATCTGTCAGTAAAGGTCTTACTTGAGCTTTTGAGCACTTGGATCAGATGTGCAATTATGTGAAAGCTGTTTATTAAACACTTGTTGCAGCAGAGAAAGTAAGGCTTGAGTAATATGCAGCCTCGTCTTGGTAAACATTCCCTAGGAGGTATTTTTTTTGCTCTGTAGCTATTAGATCTCTAATTTATATTTCACTTATGAAACTTATTATGATTCTGAATGGATCCCACTAATGAGTAGTGAAAGGGAGCCTGGTGGAACAGCTCTCAGTGTCTGGAGGTATGCAAATGATACATGATGCTGAAGAAAAATAGAAGTTTTTCATGTCCCCATAAGGCCTTAGGGTGTGGGCGAAAGTTTACAACCTTGGCATCTCTGAGCAAAGCACTCATATGCCCCATCTCTTAATTTTCTTTATCCTCTTAGGAAATCAGAATCTAAATGCCATAGAGACTCTTCGAGAAGTTGGATTAAGGTATCTGCCCCGCGAAGAGTTTTTCTGCTCAAAAATCTGGCTACAAGTTACAGAGGAATTAACCAGGTGTCGAGATTCCATGGAAATGATTCAAGGAATTGGCTCTCAATTGGAAAAACAAAGTGACACACTCTATAAAGATGAGTTCAGTAAAGACTTCACTCAGAGTTCACATCTTCAAGTTCAGTGCAGAGACTACACTGGAGGAAAACCCTATGAAGGGGTGGAGTGTGGGAAGGATTTCATATGGGGCTCTCACCTTCAAATGAACCAGACAGCCTCCACAGGAGAGAAGCCCTATAAATGTGAAAAATGTGAAAACACCTTCCGTCGGTTTTCAAGTCTTCAAGCCCATCAGAGAATCCACAGTAGAGCAAAACTGAACAATCGTGAGACGTCACATAAAGGTTTTAGTCAGAGGTCATATCTTCATCAACATCAAAGAGTCCCCACTGGAGAGAATCCACACAGATTAGAGGAGTGTGGGAGGAACATCAGAAAAATCTCACATTTTCAGGCTCCTCTGATAGCCCACCCATTGGAGAAACCCTATAAATGTGAGGAATGTGGGCTGGGCTTCAGTAAGCGCTCCTATCTCCATGTCCATCAGAGAGTTCACACGGAAAAGAAACCTTATCAATGTGAAGATCTTAATGTTCATTGTGGAATCCACACAGGAGAGAAGCCCTATAAATGTGAGAAGTGTGGGAAAGGCTTCGGCTGGGCCTCAAGTCTTCTGGACCATCAGAGAGGCCATAGTGGTGAGAAACCCTATCAATGCGATGCATGCGGAAAGGGCTTTAGTCGTGGCTCAGATCTTAACATTCACTTCAGAATCCATACAGGAGAGAGACCTTATAAATGTGAGGAGTGTGGGAAAGGTTTCAGGCAGGCCTCGCATATTCTGGCCCATCAGAGAGGCCACACTGGAGAAAAACCGTACAAATGTGGTACATGTGGGAAGGGCTTCAGCCGGAATTCACATCTTAACGTTCATTCTAGAATCCACACAGGAGAGAAGCCCCATAAATGTGAGATGTGTGGGAAGGCCTTCAGTCAGTTCTCAAGCCTTCAAGTGCATCAGAGAGTCCACACTGGAGAGAAACCATATCAGTGTGCAGTGTGTGGGAAAGGCTTCAGTGTGGGCTCACAGCTGCAGGCCCATCAGAGGTGCCATACTGGAGAGAAACCCTACCACTGTGAGGAATGTGGGAAAGGCTTCTGTCGGGCCTCAAAATTTCTGGCTCACCGTGGAGTCCACACAGGAGAGAAACCATACCAATGTGATGTGTGTGGTAAGCGCTTCAGACAGAGATCATACCTTCAAGCCCACCAGAGGGTTCACACTGGAGAGAAACCATATAAGTGTGAGGAGTGTGGTAAGGTCTTCAGTTGGAGCTCCAATCTTACAATTCATCAGCGACTCCATGCTGGGGATGAGGGTGACAAGGACTTTGCCTCAGCAGAGAATACATACAGCAGAGAATCTCTATAAAATTGCATGTGTTAATATCTCACATGCGTGCTGAAATAGTCCTGTCATAGAAAACAAAACATTTATCTCCTTGAGAACTTGCAAAGTGTCTTGGTGGTTGGGTGACCACACAGCAGAGAAGTCTCATGAGTGTAGAGACAGAGAGCTTCACTCATAACCTTCACATTTAGCAGATAACTACACGGATGAGAGGCGTGGGAAGGATGGATCCGATCTGGAGGGAACCAAATGTTCTAAGACAGAAATGCCCGAATCTCTTCCACTAGAATAGAAGCTCCCAGAAGGCATGGACTTTGTTTACAGCAAGTCCACTCTGCCTCTTCAGTGCCTACCACACTGCAGGTGTATGGCAATGTGAAAGGAGTGAAAGGGAGAACAGTCACTTTTGAAATTTTTATTCAGTTCCTCTCTAAAATTTTCTATAAACTTGTAAACAGAGGAATTTTCTAAGGATTGGAGGATTACATTAGACACTTGGGGTTATCTTCCCAACCCTGCAGGTCTTGTGAACTAGTGCTTATCAAACTGAAGGTGGTAACCTGTTAGTGAGTCCAGAATCACCAGGTTGTGTATGGGCAGCAATTTTGTATGTTAACAGTTCCTTATTGAGATGTAATTTGCATGCAAGCACATGCATAAATCTCATGTTTACAGCTTCATGAATTTTGACAAATGTATCTACTTGTGTAATCACGAAAATCAATATAGACCACATTTCTGTTAAACCTGAATGTTTCCTTGTGTACCATTCTTGTGAGTTCCACCTCCAGTGGCAGCAAGTATGATAATTTCTATATGGTGTATTAACTAAATCTGTCTGACAATACTTGTGTATCAACACAGGTTTCCTTTATTTTGGTAAATAGTTAGGAATGGGATTGTTGGGTTGTAAGAGTGTCTAAATTTGTGGCAAACAGGTGTTTCTAAAGGGGATATGTCATTTTGCACTCCCACCACCAGTGCATATCAGGGTTTTATTTTTTAGCATTTCAGTAGTTTTATAGTGGTTTCTCATGTTGGTCTTAATTTACATTTCCCTAATGACTAAAAAGCCTCTTGATGAAAGTGAAAGAGGAAAGTGAAAAAGTTGGCTTAAAGCTCAACTTTCAGAAAACTAAGATCATGGCATCTGGTCCCATCACTTCATGGGAAATCGGTGGGGAAACAGTGGAAACAGTGTCACACTTTATTTTTGGGGCTCCAAAATCACTGCAGATGGTGATTGCAGCCATGAAATTAAAAGACGCTTACTCTTTGGAAGGAAAGTTATGACCAACGTGGATAGCATATTAAAAAGCCAGAGACATTACTTTGCCAACAAAGGTCCATCTGGTCAAGACTATGGTTTTTCCAGTATTCATGTATGGATGTGAGAGTTGGACTGTGAAGAAAGTTGAGGGCTGAAAACTTAATGCTTTTGAACCATGATGTTGGAGAAGACTCTTGAGAGTCCCTTGGACTGCAAGGAGATCCAACCAGTCCATCCTAAAGGAGATCAGTCCTGGGTGTTCACTGGAAGGATTGATGCTGAAGCTGAAACTCCAATACTTTGGCCACCTCATGCGAAGAGTTGACTCATTGGAAAAGACCCTGGTGCTGGGAGGGATTGGGGGCAGGAGGAGAAGGGGACAACAGAGGATGAGATGGGTGGATGGCATCACCAACTCGATAGACATGAGTTTGAGTAGACTCCAGGAGTTGATGATGGACATGGAGGCCTGGCATGCTGTGATTCATGGGGTCGCAAAAAGTCAGACACGACTGAGCGACTGAACTGAACTGAACTGAATGACTAAGTTGAACATCTTTATACATGAATGTTTCATAACCATAGACCTATTTTCTTTGGTGAACTGTTTTCTTGTTCTTTATTTTTGAGTTCTTTATATGTTCTGGACACTTGTCCTTTGTCAGTTTTGTGTTTTGCAGATATTTTGTCACCGTGTGGTTTTTGTTTTTGCCCCATTAGCAGTATTTTTCACAGAGCATTTAAGTTTTTAAAATTTTTGATGAAAACTTCAGTTTTTGTCTTGTGTGATTTGTGCTTTGGGTTTCAGATATAAGAACTCTGCCTAATTTAATGTCACAAAGGTTTTTCTGCCCCCGCTTTTTTTCCTACTCTAAAAGCTGCACAGTTTCAGGTTTTACATTTAGGTCTATGATCCATTTGAATGAATATTTTTACAATATTTATTTATTTGGCCGTGCCAAGTCTTATTGGTGGCACATGGGATTTTTGCTCTTGTGGCATGCGGAATCTTTATTATGGGCTTCTGGAATCTAGTTCCCTGAGCACAGATCAAACCCAGGCCCTCTGCAGTGGAAGCTGGAATCTTAGCCACTGAACTACCACGAAAGTCTCTGACTCACTGACTTAGGTGACTCAGACTCATGTGAGAGACACAGTAAAGAATCAACCAAATTACTGTATTCTCTTGGGCCCATGAAGGTTATTATACACTTTTGAGCTTTGTATGTTTTTTGCCTTGCCACATTTGTAGGATCTCGAATCTCAACCAGGCATTGACTGCGAGCCACTGCAGTGAAAGCCTGGAATTCTAACCAGTGACTCAGCAGGAAAGTCCCTATAATACAACCTTAAAAGTGTTGTTATCAACAGTTCTATGTAGATTTCCAAACGTGCAGCTTCTAGAGCCTTCACCTTGTGCGATGTTCTTTCAGAGAATCTGAAGTCCATCACTGGAGTTTGAACTAAACTTTGAAATGATAATGTAGTTTTGCTTACAAACAGTAGCTTAAACAACATACAATAGTCTCCGCTCTCAGATTCAGAAGAGGGTAACACTTGCCTCTAGTAGTAATCCACCTTACTGCCCAGGAAGTGGACTGCATAAACAATGCAAGAGCATTGTGGAAGCTAGTCCAACATCTGTGAAGGGTCTTAAATACTTCCAGTGGAAAGAATGAAAAGTGTTAGTCGCTCAGCTGTGTCCGATTCTTAGCGATCCCGATGACTGCCAGATTCCTGTCTATAGACTTCTCCAGGCAGTAATACTGGAGTGGGTTGTCATTTCCTTCTCCACACAATCTTACCTACCCAAGGATAGGACCTGAGTCTCTTGCACTGCAGGCCTCAGATTGCAGGCCTTCTGAGAATTCGGGGGGATGCCCACTTGGCTTTCTGGGCAGTGTAGTCAACAAGTTCGGTAGGCTCTCGGAGTCTTCCGCGCAGGCGCGACCCGGAGAAGGGAATTCTGGGAAGTGTGTCTCTAGAGCAGCCTCTGGATGGAACTTCCTCTCTGGGCGGAACTTATGCTTTGGGCGGTCCTGTTATCCCCCTCTCCTACCTGACAGCGGGGTGAGTGGTTTCCGCTTTATGTGACCCGTGGGAACTTGTTTGGGGACCTGTCTAACCCAGTCATCGATTTGGGGGAAAGAGCTTCTTCAGCGAGCAGTGGTTTGAGGGATGGGGCGTGGAAGGTGGTTCCTTTGGGCTGAGGCCTCTCCGTTCCTGGAGTTGGATGGGATCAGTTCTGGCCTAGTTGGAGGGTCTCCAGATCTCTCTCCCCGTGAGGACCCTCCTCCCAGGCTGCACGCCGTCCATCTTACTCTGTTATTTGCCACAGTAGAACACTGGATGAATTAAATTTCCTCTGACAGCTTTCCATAAGTTTGGGATGAGGTTACTACTCTTAAAAAACAAGATTCAAGAAATTCCCTGTTGGTCCAGTGGTTAGGACTCCGCACTTTCACTGCCAAGGACCTGGGTAGGATGGGTAGGATTCCTGGTCAGGAGGGTAACATCCTCCCACAAGTCGCTCTTGGCGCCGCCAACCCCCACCCCCTGCCCCAAATTCCAATGAGTAAATTTAAAGATCTAATTTGGTTTTATAAAGAAGTTTGTGAACTGGTCAGCATAGAAGGGTTATATGGTTTTCCTTAGGCAGAGGAGTAGGGCAAAGGAATTGTTAAAGAAAAGAAAGGATAATTTTAGGTCAGGATATCTTTTGGGGGGGGGGGATGGGAATTGCCAGGGCTTCATAGTGCAGATAGCTGTTATCTGGGGGGATGGAGATGGTCTTTGTAATAGATTACTTCTTTATGTTCAGTTCAGTTCAGTTGCTGAGTCGTGTCCGACTCTTTGTGACCCCATGAATCGCAGCACGCCAGGCCTCCCTGTCCATCACCAACTCCCGGAGTTTAGTCAAACTCATGCTCATCGAGTCGGTGATGTCATCCAGCCATCTCATCTTTCGTTGCCTTCTCCTCCTGCCCCTAGTCCCTCCCAGCATCAGGGTCTTTTCCAATGAGTCAACTCTTCACATGAGGTGGCCAAACTATTGAAGTTTCAGCTTCAGCATCAGTCCTTCCAATGAACACCCAGGACTGATCTCCTTCAGGATGGACTGGTTGGATCTCCTTGCAGTCCAAGGGACTCTCAAGTGTCTTCTCCAACACCACAGTTCAAAAGAATGAATTTTTTGGTGCTCAGCTTTCTTCACAGTCCAACTCTCACATCCATACAATGACCCCTGGAGAAACCATAGCCTTGACTAGACGGACCTTTGTTGGCAACGTAATGTCTCTGCTTTTTAATATGCTATCCAGGTTGGTCATAACTTTCCTTCCAAGGAGTAGGCATCTTTTAATTTCATGGCTGCAATCACCATCTGCAGTGATTTTGGAGACCAAAAAATAAAGTTTCCACTGTTTCCCCATCTATTTGCCATGAAGTGATGGGACCAGATGCCATGATCTTAGTTTTCTGAATGATGAGCTTTAAGCCAGCTTTTTCACTCTCCTCTTTCACTTTCATCAAGAGGCTTTTTAGTTCCTCTTCACTTTCTGCCATAAGTGTGGTGTCATCTGCATATCTGAGGTTATTGATATTTCTCCCGGCAATCTTGATTCCAGCTTGTGCTTCTTCCAACTCAGCATTTCTCATGATGTACTCTGCATATAAGTTAAATAAGAAGGGTGACAATATACAGCCTTGACGTATTCCTTTTCCTATCTGGAACCAGTCTGTTGTTCCATGTCCAGTTCTAACTCTTGCTTCCTGACCTGTATAGGTTTCTCAAGAGGCAAGTCAGGTGGTCTGATACGCCCAACTCTTTCAGAATTTTCTACAGTTTATTGTGATCCACACAGTCAAAGGCTTTGGCATAGTCAATAAAGCAGAAATAGATGTTTTTCTGGAACTCTCTTGCTTTTTCGATGATCCAGTGGATGTTGGCAATTTGGTCTCTGGTTCCTCTGCATTTTCTAAAACTGGCTTGAACATCTGGAAGGTCACAGTTCATGTTCTGTTGAAGCCTGGCTTGGAGAATTTTGAGCATTACTTTACTAGTGTGTGAGATGAGTGCAATTGTGCAGTAGTTTGAGCATTCTCTGGGATTGCCTTTCCTTGGGATTGGAATGAAAACTGACCTTTTCCAGTCCTGTGGCCACTGCTGAGTTTTCCCAATTTGCTGGCATATTGAGTGCAGCACTTTAACAGCATTATCTTTCAGGATTTGAAATAGCTCAACTGGAATTCCATCACCTCCACTAGCTTTGTTCGAGCGATGCTTTCTAGCCCACTTGACTTCACATTCCAGGATGTCTGGCTTTAGGTGAGTGATCATACCATCATGATTATCTGGGTCATGAAGATCTTTTTTGTACAGTTCTTCTGTGTATTCTTGCCACCTCTTCTTAATGTCTTCTGTTTCTGTTAGGTCCATACCATTTCCGTCCTTTATAGAACCCATCTTTGCCTGAAATGTTCCCTTGGTATCTCTAATTTTCTTGAAGAGATCTCTGGCCTTTCCCATTCTGTTGTTTTCCTCTATTTCTTTGCATTGATCGCTGAGGAAAGGTTTCTTATCTCTCCTTCCTGTTCCTTGGAACTCTGCATTCAAATGGGAATATCTTTCCCTTTCTCCTTTGCTTTTCCCTTGTCTTATTTTCACAGCTCTTTGTAAGTCCTCCTCAAACAACCATTTTGCCTTTTTGCATTTCTTTTCCATGGGGATTGTCTTGATCCCTGTTTCCTGTACAGTGTCATGAACCTCCGTCCAGAGTTCATCAGGCACTCTTTCTATCAGATCTAGTCCCTTAAATCTATTTCTCACTTCCACTGTATAGTCATAAGGGATTTGATTTAGGTCATACCTGAATGGTCTAGTGGTTTTCCCTACTTTCTTCAATTTAAGTCTGAATTTGCCAATAAGGAGTTCATGATCTGAGCCACAATCAGCTCCCAGTCTTGTTTTTGCTGACTGTATAGAACTTCTCCATCTTTGGCTGCAAATAATATAATCAATCTGATTTCGGTTTGACCATCTGGTGATGTCCATGAGGTCAGGAGGGGCGGCTGTGAGGAGATACCCCTCATCCAAGGTAAGGAACAGGGGCTCTGCTTTGCTGGAGCAGCCGTAAAGAGATACCCCACTTCCAAGGTAAGAGAAACCCAAGTGAGATGGTAAGTGTTGCGAGAGGGCATTAGCGGGAAGACACACTAAAACCATAATCACAGAAAACTAGCCAATCTGATCACATGGACCACAGCCTTGTCTAACTCAATGAAACTAAGCCATTTTGTGTGGGCCCACCCAAGATGGACGGGTCATGGTGGAGAGGTCTGACAGAGTGTGGTCCACTGGAGAAGGGAATGGCAAACCACTTCAGTATTCTTGCCTTGAGAACCCCATGAACAGTATGAAAAGGCAAAATGATAGGATACTGAAAGAGGAACTCCCCAGGTCGGTAGGTGCCCAATATGCTACTGGAGATCACTGGAGAAATAACTCCAGAAAGAATGAAGGGATGGAGCCAAAGCAAAAACAATACCCAGTTGTGGATGTGACTGGTGATAGAAGCAAGGTCCAATGCTGTAAAGAGCAATATTGCATAGAAACCTGGAATGTTAGGTCCATGAATCAAGGCAAATTGGAAGTGGTCAAACAGGAGATGGCACGGGTGAATGTCGACATTCTAGGAATCAGTGAACTAAAATGGACTGGAAAGGGTGAATTTAACTCAGATAACCATTATATCTACTACTGTGGACAGGAACCCCTTAGAAGAAATGGAGTAGCCATCATGGTCAATAGAAGAGTACGAAAGGCAGTACTTGGATGCAATCTCAAAAATGACAGGATGATCTCTGTTCATTTCCAAGGCAAACCATTCAATATCACGGTAATCCAAGCCTATGCCCCAGCTAGTAACGCTGAAGAAGCTGAAGTTGAACGGTTCTATGAAGATCGACAAGAGCTTTTAGAACTAACACACAAAAAAGATGTCCTTTTCTCTATGGGGACTGGAATGCAAAAGTAGGAAGTCAAGAAACACCTGGAGTAACAGGCAAATTTGGCCTTGGAGTACGGAAAGAAGCAGGGCAAAGGCTAATAGAGGTTTGCCAAGAGAACGCACTGGCCATAGCAAACACCCTCTTCCAACAACACAAGAGAAGGTTACCTCCTTAGTGCTGACCATAAAATACCAAGCTAGTTGATTAAGATTACATTTCTGTGAAAGATGAAAACTGAAATAAAGTCTTGATTTGCTGCCATGGTGTGTGTGTGTGACAAATGGGTCCACTTTAGGCCTTAAAAAAAAAAAAGTACTACTTTCATAGTGTTGCAGAAACCAGGAATCACGAAACCAAGCACCACAGTGAGAGAGTTGGAGAGCACAGTTTTATTACAACGGTGGGCTCAGAGGAGTTAGCACTCCCAGCTCTGAGCCCCGAACAAAGGGGTTACAGAGATTTTATAGACAGACTATAGGGGGCAACACTAGCTGCTAATAGGCTGGTTAAAATCAGGGGTTTCGCACAGGCAGGAACAGCTGTCAAGATCGGGAGGGGGATGCTGTACCTTTATGTGGACAGGCATGATTAAGCAGGTTTGCAGGGGCTGGGCAACTGCAAAGAGCAGGACAAGATGAGTGAGATAACCTCCACTTCCTAGTATTGTTAAGTCCCCACTTTCTGAGACTACGTGACCTACGTAACCCAGACTTTGCAAGGAGGAAGCTGAGTTACCGAGGCAGAACCAGCAGGAAGTTATATAAAATTTTAACTTTTCCTTTTCAGTAGTACAGTGGTTTGAGAATTAAACAAGTTGTTGACTCACCCAGTTGTGTCCGACTCTTTGTGACCTCATGGACTACGGAATGCCAGGCCTGCCTATCCCTCACCATCTACTGGAGTTTGCCCAAGTTCATGTTCATTGCATCAGTGATGCCCTCCAGCTATCTCATCCTCTGACACCCTCTTCTCCTTCTGCTCTCAATCTTCCAGAATCAGGGACTTTTCCAGTGAGTCATCTGTTTGCATCAGATGACCAAAATACTAGCGCTTCAGCTTCACCATCAGTCCTTCTAGTGAATATT